GGTCTTAGCCCGAGATTAGTATACAATAATCACACTCTTCACTGGCACTGTACCAGGAACAGTTTGGAGCATTGGGCATTTGGTCCCTGTTCACACTCACTGGGTGTTTGACAAATCAAAACTGGATTAGGTGTGAACACCACGCAAGGGAGAGAGGCTAAACATGTGCAGCTATTCAAAAACAGCCGGTTTAAATACCGTTGGAATTAGATTTTCAGGCACGATTACATCAGAAAACTTTGGCTACCTCTCTGTCAGCCATCCCTATTTACGTATCATCAATCGAGAGACAGCCTTATCCCTTATTGTGTTACCTTACATCCACAACACGTTTGACCCCTGCGAGTCTCCTAAAAACGAAAATGACGACAAATGTTTTTTTGTGTGTGTGGTCACAAGTTAACGAATGAAATCAAGAAATCTGCTGCCGAAGGGACGCCTACCAGGGAGTGCTTGAAGTATTTGTCTTAACTACTCAGATATAAGTAGAAGTCAAAAAGCTGTATCAAGATAATAACAGATTAAGTCAAGAATCTATTTTTTGAGTATATCATAAAGTTCCTTATCATCAAGCAAGCAAATAACAATAGAATAATTTTCAACTCTTCTTCCTGTCAAAGATTATGAGACAAAATTACAATTGTGTTTTATGGTTCTGCCAAAGATTGCTACCCGTTATCTTTCAGTTACAGAATATTTCAATAAAATGAAAGAATATAACACAACATAACATCGATCATTTCAAGTGCATAAAATCATAAAATACCCAACACAAAAATACTCTGTATTGTCTATTCTTCATTGTATACTGTTTTCGTCGCAACTCAAGACTGAGCCACTTCCTTCCAACTCCAAGCTGCTTTGTAAACCCATTGCATTCCTCAAACTTATAGCACGGAACACACACTCTTCTCATATTTGTAAATGTTATTGTTACTGAACCACACTTCTCCAGCTCATTTACACTACATCTTGTAAGATTCATTGTCCCTTTGCAAATAGATCAAACACTTCTCACGGCAAATGAATATCACAACATACCATCCACGGGTGGACTGTAGTCATTCTTGTTGTTAGACGTCTATAAATTCCATTCTTAACCCTTATCATTGCTCATTCTAACATTGGTTACACATGACTGGCTTCATATCTGACTTGACGCTGAAGGGGACCATACTTTGCTTTTACTACAGCCTCAGGCAATTTCTCCAGTTTTTGAAATGTTTCACTGAGGTCTGTCAACTTATGTACATTTGAAATCTGGCATTGAAAGTTCCATTTTTGCCGTGTTAATGCTCCTTTGGTGCCAGTGACAATTTCCTCTTCATCAGACTCATTACAAGCTGCCAAAGTGGAATTGTTTGTATACATAGACCCAACCCTCCAGCGGCCAAAACAAGATTGGCCCAATTTGAGGTCAAAATTTACAAGCGTGTTATGACAGGGCCATAGGAGTAGGGGTGGCCGAGTAGGTTCATGTCCCCCCCCCCCACTTTTTGGGCAAAAATTTACAAATAAATACCACCACTTTACCCTCCAAAATACTGAGTTAATAACAAAACACAATTCCCCTTTTCATTTTAAAAAATGTGTTGTTAGGGCTAATTTTTAGCCTCTCAAGTCCATTTAAACCCCTGTAATGCTGGAAAAGCACATAGATGGAGGACAACCTGACACACATTTTTCCGGAACTGAACAAGGCTTTGAAGTCTTCGACTTATTAGTGAATGAGCTGAAAAAGACGGATGCTCTCACAGGCTACCATACTGACACACATATGCCCGTGCATACAGCTGACATCTTATACAATATTTTACATATATAAATACATATACAAATCCAGGTAATTCACCATTGGATCCAGAACAGTGCTCTACAATTAAGGAGGGGTTTAACAGTAAATAGACTACTCAATATGAGCACATATGGATTGTAATACAGGTCTGTTTCGTAGACCAACAAAAAGTTGATCCACTCATCAGTTAAACTCCATACACACTGAAGCATCACAACGGTTAACACAGCAACATGATCGCGTGACATATTTTTGCGGTTGTCATGACAGAGGCGTTATTCAAAAAATATTAATTTATAAATACAAAAAACCTACGCGCGCTTATGATACTATAAACAAAATTTCAGAATATTTAAGAATACTTGAGAATATATTTTCTTCTTTTTTTCATATTATCTAATCCACAGATGGCCACTCTGAACAAACGAAACGAACTCATGTCATTTTTTTCTTTGCGTACACTTTAAAAAATCTCACGCTATGCCCCCTAAATCTATAAGAATCTCAAAAACTTGCTTTTCGAGACAGTTTCAGGGGGCCATTTCCCAAGTGAGTCATCATCAACCTAGCTGCAATTCTTATGGTTCAGATATAAGCAGGAAATGTCTTTGAAATGCAACTTACCGTTTTGAAAATGCATGCTCAAGAAAGTTCCATGCCTCTGTCTTATCCATAAAAGAATTTCTTAATGCAAATGGTGTTGCCTCATTCAGTGAGACTGCAACAGTATTAGTGGAACTGATACTAGCTATGCCTACCACAAATGCTTCGAGTGAAAGGTCTTACAGTGGCTTAAGAAGAATCAAGAATCACCTTACGTCTACCATGACACAAAAAAGGATGAACAACCTTATGCTGATAGTGTCAGTATACAAGGAAGACGCAGAAAACTTGAATCTACTTGATGTTGCTAACGACTTTCACGCCGGAGGCTCTCACCGTTTGTCAAAATTTGGACACTTTTCAGAAGTTGACCTACGTTGAACATTTAGCTAATTAAGTAGAACTGATGGAAACCACTATATTTACAACTACTGTGGTCGGGCTGGTTTGTCGACAAATTCCATAGCCCCAATTGTCACAATAATATGGTACCTTTGAGTAGACACTCAACAGACACCGGTCCCTTTTTTCCATCGTCTGGTACAGCCTGTCCATAATATCTGTATTATACTTGGCTGAAATTAGTTGTCACCATTTCAGACTAGATATTGATCAAATGTTATGTGGCAGTTCATAGGTTTTTTTAAAGTACAATACAGGTTAAAATTGCTTGAAGATAGCCTGAAAGTGGAGATAAACTATATCTAAAAGTGCTTAATACATGGCCCAGTCTCTATTAGAGAGAAACCCTGCTTTACAGACACCCACTTTATATGGACACCCTGTTCTTACAGACAGTTTCCTTTGTCCCTGGGAAAAGAAAGCCTTTACATTTCTGTAAATGCAACCCACTTCATACGGACACTTTCTATGCTCCCCTAAGTGTCCGTATTAACGGGGTTTGACTGTTTAGACTTTCAAGATTTGATGCCAGCAGTGGAGGGGGGGAAGGGGTATCGGCCCACAACAGTCGTGCCCTCGCACTTTCAAATTAATTCCTACGAGCCTGCTTAGCCTTTAGTACATGCTCCTGTTGCCCAAAAACATTCAAGTGACTGCTAGGCAGGGTCTTAATAGGACAAAAGAAATTAAGACAATTGGTAACACCATAACCAGTGACCAGATGGATGTGCACATAGTACACACCCTTACACAGAAGAGAAAGAAGGAAAGAAGGCAAATTTTACATGACATCCAGGGGAAGGAACTTGTTACTGACATTTCAGAGGGTCAAGCAAGTGCATGAAGGCAGATCTGGGAATAACCTGGTACTGTCTCAATAAACCTAAGAAGGTATGTGGTTACATAATCATGTTTTAATTGACTCATGTTCTAATTGACTCTCTTTTAGGCAAAAACAAAATAGTTCAATTAAATATTTTCAGTACTGAGTTAGGATATTTGAGTGTTTTAACATTAAGGTGGTTTAAGCAATGGGGAATCAAGACGGAGAGTGAGAAGAAGCAAGGAATACGCAAGGGGGAGCAGATAGACAACAAAATGGAAGAGGAACTTCTCCCAATGGAATGCACAGAAAGGCAAGGGAACAAGACTGTTAAAGTAATAGAGGAAACTCCCTGTGCCTGTGTCAGCACCTTAAGAAAATTACTCCATATGTGGACGACTGTGACTCATAAGCAAGACTATGCATCTTATTCCTAACACACTAGAAGACATGTTAATAGAGGATTGTTTCTAACCGCTCTTAACAATACTTTATTTTGCAGGACGGACCAACTTAGTTGGCACAATGGCAAAAAATCAGAAGGCAAACTTTTTGTTAAAATTGGAGATCATTGGCAAGGGTCTCATCAAACCCAATTCTAGTAAAAACTGTGGTATTTGTCATTTATGAGGGTAACAATACCCGGAACAATCTTCTCACAGTCCTTCAACAGCATGCTGGTTCTCTAAAGGGGCTTACTACTCTAAAAATCACGTAAGTTGTTAATCACTAAAAGCAAATAGTGGTAATAAAAATCTCTTTATTCTAATATTAATCTGGATTAGGGACACAATCCCTGTATTATTGCTTTTTGGGGATTACGAATTCCTTTGTAAAGTTATGGGGATCAGTGGTGCAAGTGGTAAGCAAATCAATTTAACAGATTGAAATGCACTTTGAATGCTTAAATATTCACTTCAACATTTAACATTCAGCATTCTTTGAAGGACGTCATTCGTGCCTCTGGTGTAGTATCATAGCTAGTGAGATGAAACTCTCAGTGGATCACAGAAACCCTACAACATCTCGTACCCTGGAGCACCTTCAGGATTGCTACAAAAAATTCATTGATGATGGGGGTGACATGAAAAAGGCAAGGAACCATTGCAATGTAATCCAGAAGGCATTTTTTGAAATCCCAATTGACGAGGTAAAAGATCTTTTCTAGAAGCCTTGTTCAAGATAACATCATGTACATTTTTCCTTTAGTATTATTTCACTGTTGTTTTGCATGATAATCTTTAGATATGCATTCCTGGTCACCACATTAGCGTTGGACTGTCTTTGTACCTTTTTAATATGCTTGTTGGGGAGTGTGATGAGTTGGATACAAAGATTGCCTGGAAATGGGCTTAAAGCAGTAGTCAGCTAGATGTTATGGATGATCTAAGTGAGCACATCGCACTTCTTGGACAAGCCACAAAACAATCAAAAGCACCCCAAGATTACCATGCACAAGCTTCTCCGTTAACTGAGGCATACATGGTACACCTTCTGACTGTGGCCAGCAATGTTATAGTGTTTGACAAGGGCAAAGAAAACCCTTTGATAACATCATTACTCAACGCCGTAAGAGCTCAGAGAGAAAACTGAAAAAGAAAATGAGGTTTTTGTTTACCCGTAAAGCATATGTACTTACAGAAAAACAGTTAAATATTAAAACAATTATTTCTTAACTTGAACAACTAAATACTTTATTTCAGGTTGATGAATGGAAATGAGGTTTTCTTGGCACTGGTTTCAGTTTCTTCTTTCTGAATCTTGTTATTCACTTTTAAAGGTAGCATAGTCACTAACCATTCAGTCCAGTACTTCACTACTGAAGGGATCTGGGGTAATAAATGCTGCGATTGAGAAATTTCTAGAGAACATTAATGTCAAAAGACAAGCCCTTCACAGTCAAAAATTTGCTGCCAATCATGTTGACATCTGCCTTAGGGTAATTTAAGGTCGGGGTGAAAAACTTATCCATATTCGTGATAACTATTCAGACTTGTATCTATGATGATAATTATAATAAAGTTTAACTATATTATTATCATTTTTCAGACAAACAACATGAAATGCTTGTGTAAAACCATTTCTGAAACAACAAGGAACACATCTCCATCTCTGTTACATAAGGCCACTACTACTGAGAAAAAGTTTGAATCACTGTTAACCCTATTTGCCCATTGCCATTCAAAACACAATTCTAATGAGGCAGTAGAGGACACAGAAGATTCCTGCTATTCTAACATTTTGTCTATTTTTATACTTGTTGACAGAGAGAGATAAAAGAGTTTGTGTGCTTCTTCAGGACAAATTTCCCAGACAAATCCTTTCCTCCACAGCTTCACGTACTGGAGGAATATGTTATTCCTTTCAGGAGCAAATGGCACTTCCCTCTAGGTTTCTTCAGCTAGCAGGGAGGCAAAAGTGTCGACCATGAATTTACCCAGCTTGCATCAACATTTATCTACGCTAAGCTAGCAACATTGCAACTAAAGGAAATAGGGAACTTAAGAACCACAACGAAGTTCACGACGACGACGTCTGTTGACTGGGAAAGGACTGGAACGAGAACGTCACTTTCGGCGGGAAAAAGGAAACTTAAGATGCAGTCGATCGGTAGGTCAACGACGACCGACACTGAATGTAAACAAACATGTAGAAGTAGTACAACTGTGATGTTCGTTCGCAACAAAGTTTTTTCGCAAAGGCGTCTTTTAAGACGATGCAAGATCTTATTTTATAAGCCATACGTCTACTTTCATTGACGATGAAGAATTTTTAGTGTTGTCTGACCTTTTCGAAAGGAAAAATCTCTGCTTTCCATACGAAGGTTATTCAATTTTCAACCAGAATGACATGACCGAGTCGGAGTGTCTGTCAGAGTTTAGAATTGGAAAAAGAGACATTCCGATGCGATAGCTGTTTTCCAAATAAAGTTCATTTCCCATATATTAAAGATATATGATTTGCCTGACCTAAATACGTAAAAAAAAAAATGGCACTTACGAGTTCGCTCGCTCGGCCTGCACAGCTCAGTGTTGTCTTCGAAGTAAACACAATTCATCAGTCAAATTTTCAATCAACATCGCTTGTTAGTAGAAAAAATAAAGGATACCTGGATTTACGAGGTGAAAAAAATAGAAAGCCCTTGAAAAATCGCTTAAAAACAGGGAGTTATACCTGCCGAAGCTTGTGGACTGCAGGACGACCTGACTCTACTGTGTTTAGCGTCGTCGTAGACACCACGATGACGAAAATTGTTAACCGCGCTTGCGCAATGCACAGTATCTCACTTCCGGTCGTCGTCGACAAAGTCGTCGTTGTGGTTCTTAAGTTCCCTAATGATGGAGAAGCATCATTTTCTATTCCATCCAAAGAACAGTTGGACGAGCAACTGTTCTATTCAACATATTTATGAACGATCTTGTTTACGTGATAAAACACTAGTTATTGTTTTAAAAACGGAGCAGAGGGAAGCTTCGGAGTTGCTACCCAGGGAAAAGGATGTTTTCTGTGTCCTAACAACAGGATTTGGCAAAAGCCCTATTTATCAGATGTTTGTTTATGCAACAGCCTACCACTGTTGTTATCTCGCCTTTAAAAAGTATTACGGACGAACAAATAGCATCAAATTAATTCAGCCTTTCTGCTTGTGAATTGCGTTTTGACTGTAAGACCCTAACAGGTCAACAGTTCGTAACAAAGCTACTGTACAAGTGAGTAATTTGCTGTAAATTTGAAGGAAGTCAATATCAATCCCAACCGCCCCTGCCTCTTCCAGATTTTAGAGTAAAGGAATGCTCACAATTTACCTACACTGGACTCGATTTTGCGAGACCTCTCTATGTCAAAAATCATTTTGGCCTTCAGCAGAAAGTATGGATCTGCCTCTACACTTGTTGTGTTACTGGAGCTACTCATTTGGATCTCATACCCAGCCTCACAGCCTCCACATTCTTGAGAAGTTTCAGAAGATTCTCCACCCATCGCGGCACTCCAGTGTTGATGGTGTCTGATAATTGGAAAACCTTCAAGTCAGCAGCACAAGAAATCATGAAACTGATGAACGACCAGGGAGTAAAACAAAACTTTGCCAAGCACGAATGAAGTGGACTATCAACCATGAAAAGGCCAAATCATGGGGTGGCATATTCGAAAGACTTGTAAGATCTGTTAACAAATGGCTGAAGAAGACCATCGGTGATGCAACCCTTACCTATGAAGAACTGCTTAAGTGGAAATGATACTGAACTGCAGACCTCCGTCCTACATGCCAGGTTAAGACACTGAAGAACCCCTTACCCCATCCCACCTCTTATGTGGGCGATGCCTAATGAGCTTTCCAAACAGCAACACCAGTAACACTCCAGATTATGACATTGATCTTCAGCCACAGGATCTAAGCAGAAGAATGCAGCACCTGAGCAACATTCTGAACCACTTTTGAAAAAGCTGGAGAAATGAGCACCTGATCGAACTGCAAAATGCCCATTATTACCGTAACCAGAGTGACACTGACAGAACAGTACCTGCTGGAGATGTAGTTGTCGTGCATCAAGATGGGCTGAGAAGAAAGTGGCGTGTTGGAAAGACTTTAGATCTTATCATTGGATCTGATGATTGTAGCAGGGGAGTTGTTGTCCAAGTGCAAAGCGAGGGAGGAAAACATACAAAACTCAGGCGCCCAGTACAGCGGCTTTACCCTTTAGAGATCCAGAGTGAAGTTTCTGTCCAACAAATAACGGAAGCAAGCTCAAGCCGGAATCCTGATCCACTTAACACTGAAGTGAGAACTGAGCAACCAGTGTCTACATGGAGCTTCCCAAAACGAGCAGCTCCCAATGAGGCTGACCAAAGAAGGAAGACCTGGCTGGAGGATCTGACTTAATGAACTTAGTACTTTCCTATGAATTATGGTTGGCTTTCTCAACAGTACGTAAGGGTTTGTTGAGCGGATAGAACTAGGTAGCGAAATAATAATCTGGTCAACAGGGGGAGTGTTGCGGACTTTTATAGCGTTACAGCATGACATCAGGTCATGTGAAACTTGATATGTGAAAACATGTGATTTTTAGCGTTTTGTTCGGGTTCTGAATACAGTTTCTGTTCTGTGTGGTTGAATTTAATCAACAAGGAACCTTACCCATACGAAAATTTATAGCCTGACATAGCTTGAACCAGGCCTGATTCTGGCCATAAAGTATCTTTTACAGTGTGAATTGAGTGACTGATATGTAAGTCTATACGTTTGCCTTGTGATTGGTCATTTTATCTTGGGGGACTTTAACAACCAACCTATTTTTACCTCGCAAAAGTCATGGGTGATTCGCATGCTTTGCAGTTTCCCGAGGTAAAGAGTCCTTTTACAAAAGGACGATGGGTAACTGCAATTAATGACTATACATTTTGAAATGTTATTTCAGTAATGTGACCACCGTGTTAACGTTTTTGGGATTGATGCACAGTTTTTAAGAAAGTTGTCACGTGGTAGCCTTCAACTTAGCCATTACTGAATAGAACAAACTTGACCCCGAAGGAGCCGAGGGGGACACTTTGTGTAATGGGTTGCAAGTTTTGTCTCAACATTTACCAGTCCTCACGTTTTTATAATTCTGCTTGAAAATGGAAAAGGCCGAATATTGGTGCATTTACTTTCCAAGTGACAAAACAGTGAGTATAATTTCTACGACACATTGTACCTTGAGGGATGCATTCACAGAGCAGGGTTAAGTTGCTGTAAAGTGGCAGGTTTAAGAAAAAAAGCAAACCTTCTTATTACTTGCATCTGCCCACAAACAACAGCTTCAACCAGTAGCCAATTCGGGAGTTAAGTACCCTTCAGAATGAAGCAATAATCCAGTTTGTGTAAAAGCAGAGAGATGTTTTCATCTACACACTGGATTTTGAAAATCCTTTACATATCACACATTCCCATTGGATTTGACGCCACGCATGGAGAAGGCAATGTTGTTATCTCACCTCTCGTAAGTCTTATGAAAGAGCAGGTTCAAAACTTAAAAAATCTTGCAATCTCTGCCATCACCCTCAGTGACATCAAAGAAGATGTGAAGGCTGTTGATAAAGATGTCTTCTCAGTCATTTATCGAAGTCCAGAGGCTTTCTTGAAAATCGTACGATGAAGAAAAATGTTAACAAGCGACATTTACACAGAAAAGTTGTGGGCAATTAAAGTCAATGAGGTTCATGTCATAAAGCAGTGGTGAGTGGCTCAGTCGTTCATTTTTTCAGAAATAAATTGAAGAATAGCTAAAATATTTGCATGTTTACTTTATATCCCTCAAGTTACAATTTCATGGTAGATATTCGTTTTTTTCGAAGTACAATGTAAGGCAAATATGCGGGTTATTTCACATCAAGCTTCTGTTGTTGCAGTTGTTGATGGACAGAACGAAATACTGCTATAATGCACGATAGTTAGAAAGGGCAGACAATGTTCTCTTAAATCATAGATCAAAAGAAGAATCAAGTTTGAAATCTGCTGGAAGTAGTGCTTTGGAAACAGAACAAGTGCCAGTGATTTCAAAAGTTTAAACTCTGAGCCAGGTATTGCAAAGGCTCAGATCAAAGATGTATGCAAGAGAAATGAGAGAGAAGATGAAGATTGACCCAGACGATCATGTCATGGATATCACAAAAACTCAAATTTCGATCAGTTGACACCAGTTTCTATGGTGGTAAGAGGGCAACCTAAATTGACACTGGTGGCATTCTTAGACAAGTGTCTAGTGAAGTGTTCGTGTCTATTGCAACTGATGAGGGTGGCATTCACAGGAGAAGATTTCAAGAAAGACACCGTTTTTAACAAAGAAACTATTGTCAAAAAGTATTGTCGCTGGGGATTACAGTAAGTATTGAGCAGGATCAACAGTACTTTTTTTATAGGCTTAATTATTTATTATAAAAGTTGTCCTTGTAGTCGTTTATCATGTCATGCAAGAAAAAGATTCTTGTTACTTTATACCTGATACACTCGACCGAAATGTTGACATTTCTACTTAGCCATCCTGGCACTCATGTTCTGTTCATGTATGTACATCTAATTACCTATTTTGATACATAAGAAAACAGTAACAGTATATCTGATCAACCACATCAGATGACGAACAAACCACATAACAAAGATACCATACCACGTAAGAGCTTAACGACAGTGCATCATGACAAAAACACAAAACATAGCTAAATAACCTCAACACACCATGATAAAAACACGTCACATAAAGTTTTTACATTCCATCATGGCAAAAATGCAACACGGACACCCTCGCGACCACGGTTTAATGTCCTTAATAACAAGACTCCGTAATAGTGGGGTAAGAGAAAAAAAAAGAGTTGTTAACATACAATAATATTATACATAACATTAACTACATTCGTAAGGTCTTCTTGA